CTGTTCTACTGTACTGTGACTGCAGCCCCTGTTGTAACAGCACTGAACTACTGTATTGTGATTGTAGGTCCTATTGTAACAGGACTGTTCTATTATACTGTAGCCCCTATTGTAACAGGACTACTTTACTGTGTTCCCCTATTGTAAAAGGACTAATCTACTGTAGTGTTGTTTTAATGGCAACCTAGAAACCTTTGCTCATCCGTCAGCCCATGTTAGGTCAACTTACTGTATTTGTGTAGATAGTCTTTCTGGTGTCCTATTATCCACCACAGTAAGATAGAACTAGAACAATTGCCAAGCAAAGTGTGTCAATTTACGAGACAGCTGTGCTACGATGTCTGGAGTTCTGGGTTAACATAGCCACCTATATTGACTACAGCAACCCTTGGGAAAATAACATATCCTGTAGACGACCATAGATTTCTAGAGAAATACCTCTGTTTTCTTGTGGGAATGTTGGGCAGGTAGTGTAGGCAAGCTTCACGTCATAGAACCTTCAGAGATTTCATTTTCTCTGATGAATCAAGCTTGAATCTTAGCTTTGCTAGTGAGCAGCTTTTCCTAGATGCACCTCCCTCCTCTATGAGGACAAATTCTCGGGGGCCCCCCCCTGATTGCTAGTGAGGTTACCAGGTCCTGGGACATATTACCTGGTATTTATGTTACAATGTCCTGGTTACACGTCATGCCACCAGTGTGGCTGTTTATCTTACTCCTGTTCTGGCCTCACAGCAATAGCTTCCAGCTGAATCTCGACTGGATTTAGAAAATCCTCCCTCTCAGTTTTCAGGTCTTGAAGACTTTTTGTCATACTACTTGTTAGAAATCTGTCAACCATCTGTCACAATATGAGAATTCTACTACAGTTTTAATCAGAGACACCCTTGCAGCATGACTATTCTATACTATGTTCTTCAGAGACACTATCACAATACAACTGTTCTACACTATTTTTATCTGAGACACTATTGCAGCAGGAATGTTCTATCCTACTTTTATGAGAGACACCATCTTTTATCAGAGACTATCTCAGCACGACTATAGTACTTTTATCAGAGACTATTGCAACATGACTATTCTATATTACTTTTATCAGAGCACAACTATTTTATATTATTTAATCAGAGACACTATCGCAACACGACTATTCTATATTACTGTAATGAGAGACACTATTGCTGCAGGACTGTTATACCCTACTTTCTTCAGAGACACTATTCCAAGTACGACTGTTCTGTCCTACTTTCATCAGAGACACTATTGCAGTCTATTCTACCTACACTGTTGTGCTACCCAACTCTACAGAAAGCTTATTCTGTATTTTTGATACAGCTCCTATTGTACCATGGCTGTTCCACTTCATTTTTTATGATTGCCCCCTCCTTAATGTACTGTGGAATCAGTCTGCATTAGTATCCACCACACACCACCCCTTTTTCTCCCTCTCCCATTCCATTTGGAAAAAGGAAAAAGACTCCAGTCTCCTTTTGTGCTGTAGCCATGGCAACAAAGAAGGTTGGGGAGTTGGGGGGAAGGGGAGGACGAAAGGGGCCGTCTTGTAACAGCTATAACTCATGTCTCCCTCTGGTGGATGATCTAGGGATTGCGCACTTCTTCAGTATCTTAACTGCTGATAATACTTGTGCGATTTCCAGACCCCCTCACTCGCTTAAGATCGCCACTGAAGCACTGATAAATTCTGATCAGGACCCTGACGGTGAGTGTACCCACGCCAGCTGTTCAGAACCCTGCTTGTTGTTCAATACCAGGGCACCAAGATTATTAGCTCGCTGGCGGTCTAGCCCATGGTAGCCCTGCGAGACCAAACACCAAAACTAAGCAGCCGTCACACAGCAGCATAGAGTCCACAATGCTGCACACCTGAGCCAAATCTTCCACACCCAGGTGTGCGAGACAGGAAAGCATACACACGTTCACACAACATGGACACTGCACATAATAATAATAATAATAATAATAATAATACCTTACACATGTGTAACACTTTTCTGGACACTCCACTCAAAGCTCTTTACAGGTAATGGGGATCCCCTCCACCACCAGCAGTGTGCAGCCCCACCTGGATGATGCGACAGTAGTCATAGTGCGCCAGAACGCTCCCCACACACCAGCTCTCAGTGGGGAGGAGAGCAGAGTGATGAAGCCAGCTGATAGATGGGGAATATTAGGAGGCCATGACTAGTAAAGGCCAAAGGGAAATTTGCCCAGGAAACTGGAATAACACCTACTTAACTTCAGTGGGCTGCCAGTTGTAAGTTGCGGGGTGATATGGCTGTCCATATTTAACATATTTAACACGCTCCGCGCTTTTCCTAAGAGCGGCGATAAACTCAGCTACTCTCCTCAGTCAGGGATGTCTGCAGCGGACTGATGTCCTGGCCCTCTGCACCTCTGAGATGAGCTCCAGGTTGCCGAGCAGCACGTCGCCATTTAACGAAAACAGAGGGATCATCATCGCTATCATCATGTGAGAAAGAGCGCCCCTAAACCAGCATGAAGGTAAGTAGCAGTAGAAAGATCCATCACCCCCATGACTATATGAATTAGAGCGCCCCCTCTTTCTGGGCAGGCCCAGCGGGGGAACTGCAACTCATAGTGAAGAATGACGGACACACTGAAGTTGTGGATACAAGCTATTTATTAGTATAGTTCGATCGTTGTTGGGTGGATCGGTGAGGGGTGGATTTATTCCAAGTCACTGCAGGGTCAGGAGGGAGGGAGAGAGGGGGGAGGAAGAGGAAGGCTCACAGAGATAAGCTAATGAAGAGGGGAGAGGATCGGAGACAGAAAGGGATGCAGGAGGGGCAGGGACAGGGGGGAGAGAGTGCATTTTGGTGTACGAGTGGAAATCCAGACGCCGTGTTTGTGTGTGCGTGCGTGTAGACGGCGGTATAAGGGTCAGCCCATCTGTCCAGCTGTGTGTCTCTGTGGATTGGCTGTGTCAGTGCCCGCTCCATCTGCCAACCACAGTGTCGGTCAGTCAGTGTCCCAGCGTCGGTCTGCCTCTCACAGGGCGCTGGGGTTCCGGAAGTTGTGTCCGGCGAACCGGGCCTGATCCCCTAACTCCTCCTCGATCCTGAGAAAGAGAGGGAGAGGAACCGGATGTCAAGGCGGATAAGGCTGACATCACAATTCAGCCTTCACGCAGGGAGAGATGGGACCTCACCTCATCAGCTGGTTGTACTTTGCCAGACGCTCTGATCTGCAGGGGGCGCCAGTCTTGATCTGTATGGAGAGAGGTGGGGATAGGGGGAGAATAGAGACATGACCATACAGAGAGGTAGTCGGGATGGAGATACAAAAATTGAAGCTTGCCTACACTTACATCAGAAAAAAAATTGGTAGCAAAATTAGAAAGTGAGATACAGACAGAGATAGTGAAGCCAGAAAATGAGATACAGACAGAGGTAGTGAAGGTAGAAAATGAGGTGCTGGAAGATATACAGAGAGAGAGAAACAGGGAATTGAGTGGCTACAAAGGAGAAGATGTACAAAATAAAAACTGGGGTGTACCAACTTCTGTCCTTCTGTTTGATTTATTTTTGTCATTTGAAAGTATTCATTATTTACTTACTTTATTTTATTGATTATATAAACTTGATTATTTTTGTATTTTCTCCTTGTGGCCTAAACTCAGATTCACATAAAGTATTTGTAATGTCGTGTTAAATGGCTTCTCGCAATTGTTCAAGACTTGTCATGCTTTCATTTCATTGTTAACTATATGCCTTGGCACTACTGTGCCTCATCAGTCTTGCCTATAAAGTGCTTTAACTGAGCTGGAGAGCAGAAGATAACGTCAGATACCTGTCCAGTGCAGAGCCCTACAACAAGGTCAGCGATAAAGGTGTCCTCTGTCTCCCCAGAACGGTGACTGACCATCACTCCCCAGCCATTCTCCTGTGCCAGCTTGCACCTGAGAGACAATGAGCACACTGAGAGTCAGACTGGGCACACAGAGTCAGATTAAGCATACTTTCAGTCAAGATTAACACTATGATTCTGTATCAATGTACAATGAGGGTCAATACACAGGCACTGAAAGTCAGAATTAACACACTGAGGGTTAAAACGCACACACTAAGTCTCAATATTAATATATTATATATAAGAGTGAATGCACAGGCACTGAGAATCAGATTTAGCGGACTGAGATTCAAAATGAACACATTGTGAGTCAATAAGATGTGATACGCCAGCACAAGGTAAGAATGAACACAATAAGAGTCAGAATGACCACACTGAGAGTCAATACGCCAGCACAGCAAATCGAACTGACTGTGTCCATGAGGGTCAATACACAAGCACTAAGGGTCAGAATGATCATAATGAGAATTACAATTGTTACACGCTCTGTGAGTCAATGTTAACAGACAAGGAGCAACACACATACAAGTGAGAATAAACACACTGAGAGTCAATATGGATACACCCTAACAGCCTCATTATAAAAGAACTGGCAGCCATATTGAGAGTCAATATGCACACTGATTGTTAATAACTGCATACCAGTCAAAAATAGTTTGGACTGAGAACAATATACAGAAATGAAAGTCAATGAGAGTCACAATCACTGTTTATCCACTGTTTCATCATTTCATCTCTTCTCACAGGTTACAGAATACAGATTGCAAATCACAGCGTATTGATCCACACCTGCAGAACCTTGCCGAAAAACCTGATTCCTCTCTCTCCCCTCTCCCACTTCTTCTTCTTCCCTATCCAGTACTGGGCTGTGGGGGTGCCTGAGCCTATCCCAGCATGCAATGGGTGCAAGGTGGGATCCAAATCGATCAACCTAAATGATCTCACTATCTCTGGAAGCACTATCTCTCTTTCACTGATTAAGGATGACTGATTATGGATTGGCTCAAGCTGATAGAGACCCTCACTGCCCCTCTTACCCTCTCATATTGTCACAGATTGTCACAGACTAATCGTGGAGAGCAGGGGAGCGGAAAAAGACCCATATGCGTAGAGGCGGAAGGGGAAAAAGGCCCAGGCTCAGCAGTTCAGGAGTCAGATAGAAACCAATGCCCTCAGGCAGCGGACGTGGGGCGACCTGGGTGGTAAGGTGGGTTTCAGGACATCCGGACGTCAATGCTGAGCGAGGGCAGAGTGCAAGACCCGGACATATATAGCCCAAGGGAAAGAGAGGGACCGGAAGGACAGCAGGCAGGAAACTAGGGACAGGACAGAGTAGGAGCGCCCTCTGGCTGCAGAGGGCGTGACACATATACAGTAGATTAAAGATGATTAAATAGCTCTTCCTTATGCAGTTTCATTCTCTCACATCCTCTCTTTCGCTCTCTTATTGATTAGAAATTAGTGACTGCTGGTTGTAGGGCCCGTGTGGCCAACCCAGCCCCTGTCTCTCTGATTGATTATCACTTAGCAATGACTCACGCCTGGATGGCCTCGGTGACGGAGCCGATCTGGTTGACCTTCAGCAGCAGGCAGTTGCAGGCCCGTTCCTCGGCTGCTTTCTCGATGCGCTTGGGGTTTGTCACGGTCAGGTCGTCCCCAACAACCTGGATCGCCACGGAGCCCGTGAACCGAGACCAAGCCTCCCAGTCGTCCTGGTCAAAGGGGTCCTCAATGGACACCACTGAGTGAGAGGGGGCGGGGCACAGGGGGAGGGGAGGGGCACAGGGAAGGGGTGTGTCATTGGGAGATGAGGCGGGCCACACGGAGAGGGGGCAGGTCATAGGGAGAGGAGGTAGGGCACAGGTGGGGGCAGATCATCGGGAGAGAAGGCAGGGGAGACAGGGTACACAGAGAGGAGGAAGGTCATAAGGAGAGGGGGCAGGACACAGTGGAAGAAGGCAGGTCATATGGTGAGAAGGCAGGGCACAGGGACAGCGGCAGATTAGATGGTGCACAGAAAATGACCAGACCTTTCAGAATTGCAGAGAAACAAGTAGGAAGGGATATGGACTGTCTAGCTGTTACATCTTTAATTCCATGTCAGGAACAGAGGGACAAACGGCAAGACAATGAAACGTGTACTTGTTACAGCTCTTCCAGAATTACAGTTCTGATCCCTGTTGGTCCCCACGTTATAGAAAAGATAATTCTGCTCGGCGGATTAATGGAACGCCGTACACTGACAGCCTGAAGGAACTGAACCTCTTCAGTCTTGAACAGAGTAGCCAATTTAGTGATCTGATCCAAGAACTCAAAATCCTCAAAGCCAATTGAGCAGCCTTCTTTAGAATCAGCAGTGCAAAGAAAGGACACAGTATAGGACACAAGTGGAAACTATAGGGAAGAGCATTTAAAATGGAGAACAGGAGGCATGCCTTTTAAACCAAGAGCTATGGGGCTATAGAATAAACTGCCCAGCCATGCAGTTGAAGCTGATAACCTGGGATTTTTCAGATCAACTATCAGACTGGCCAGATCACTCTCAATTTGTAACTATTGTCACGATCACATGCAGAGAGGGATGGAGACAGCGACACATTGATGCAGCCAGACAGAGGGCCGATTACCTGGGTAGTCGTTAACAAAGCTCTGGTACAAGTCCGACAGCTCTTCGGCAGTGATGTACCGTGCAGGGTCGTCAGGAGACTTGAAGTCCAGGTCGTACTTCCCGTCACGGTAGAACTCTGATGCTGCCACGTCCATCCCAATCACCACCTTGTCAGTGAACCCAGCTTTCTCAATCGCTGTTTTTAACAGCTCCAGGGCTGAGAGAGAGAGGGGTTTAGACAGATACACTGATAGGCCAGTAAGAC